TCTATCAAATGACATATTGTGTAACATTGTGTTCTGAACACAAAATAGTCAATTTAACTTCAAATTCAACTTTGGTTCCCACGGGAATCACAATAATTAGCTTGGATGTATTTGTAACTGCTCTTGTCGCATAGTTAGAAAGCCAGAAAAATTGTGATTGTTAGAGGAAATTGTTTGCTTTTTGCATGTTATTAGTCTACATTCTTTAGTGCATTATCTAATTAAATAAAAATTACTTTAAAGTAAGTACTTTATTTCTTGTTTTTTATGTTTATTCTTTATTTATTATTATAAAAGTAACTAAAATGTAAAAATAGAGATCTCTTAAGGTTAGATTAGGTAAAAATCAACAATAATAAAAATATTTCACAAGGCACGCATGAGAGCAGCTCAGAATAGCTCGTGGGTAATGTAATTCAATAGCATAACGTGAGCTGCATGTTCCCAAAGTGATTTACAACTTATAAAGGCATGAATAGTAGTTAGACAAGGTTCAAAAGGCAATCAAAAGGGTAATAAAACAATAAAATTTAATTATAAATAGATGTATACTGTTACGAGTTTAAAGCTACTTAGGATAAACAAATGCAGTTTCATGTTACAATTTGAAGTCATTCTAGAAAGAAAAAAGGGTAACTTAAGTTCATAGGTGGTGATTATGAGATCAGTCAAATTGACCAACCTTTTATAGAGTTAGGGTAGAGAAAATAAGAGATAAAATATAAAGTTTTACTGAAAACAATCATTTGAAATGTATTTAGGAGGTCTTAGAGATAACACAAATGAAATTTGAGATTTTTGAGATGAAGAAAAATATTTTTAATCTCAACATGAAAAATCACTTTGCACACAGACTATTCGAAACAAATGCTCGATATATTCAAGGCCAAATTTTTTTTTAGTTTATTAAGAATAATTCAATAAAAAATATAATTTTTGTATGTGAAAGGCTTATAATGTTTACTGAAAGACTGCAAAATTTCATGAAGATATATCAAAAGTTAGTAGTATCAAATCTATAAAAACTCTATACGAGTACAAAAAGGTCACGTGGTCAATCAAATTGACTGAGCCTGTGTGGAGAGAGTTAATGGAATGGTTCAGGTTCTCCTTTGCTGTTTCTTTGAAAACTAAAGGGTTTATGTATTTATCATCACCACCACAAGCTCTGAATGCCAATTTCTCAACCAAAATCCATCCCAGATGTTCCAGGAAGTCCTTCATCTTCTTCTTGAAGTCTAAAAATGTGCACATCCTGATGAATGTGACATTACCAGGCTTATTCTTCAATGCAATGATGCCATCATATTGGCACAATGTGTCATTACATCCCATTTTGACTCCTGCTACTAAATGTGATTAAGTTTTTTGGTATGTCTTGGTGGCCAAGAAGGCTCATGACTTCCTCCAAAATCTGTTGGATCATAACAAGGTGCCAACTGCTCTTCTCAAAAGTACTGCAATGAAACATATCAGACTTTGTTCTGCACACATCTCACTACTCTCTGTGATAGTGGTGGATCCATTCAGCATCTCATGATGCCTAGGATCATTAACGAGTAGCTTTCAAGTCCAATTTATACCACTCCAGTAATTCTTGAAACATTTAGGCCACTCACTGCCACCACCAGAATGTTTCTCTACTTCTTTTTGCTCCTGCATGTGGGATGCAACCAATTTAAGTAATGTTATGGTCACATGGGATTTTCCAAGAAGTCACACGTCAACTTCTTCTTCTTGAGTATATGAATACTGCTCTCACTATGGTCAGTAAAAGCTCTGCATCCAGAAGAGTGCTCATTCTAGATTTTGCTGCATTCTTGAATCAAGTATTCAATACCACCATATCTTCCTTGTCACCACTATAGGTTTTATATGATCTCAGAAAATTATATTCCATGACAGCACAACTTACATTTGAGTCCACTAAAAAAAGAAGTAAATTTAAAATAAAATTCCAATAACAATCCTGTTCACAGCACCAACATTTTACTTTTAACTAGTCTATTGTATTCAGGCACAGGTAGTTAAAGGTAAAACAAAGTGAAGGTTCAGGACTGTCATGAAAAGAATAAATTGAACATGGACAGCAACAGAAAACAAACTAAAAACAATTTTTATTCACAAGTCCGTGTATGTTTTAATAATTTCCATCTTACTGACTGGCTTCTAAACTGAATGCCTACAGTCTTTTTTATTGAGACCAAGGGCAATATCAAGAGTTGAAAACAAGAGACCTAACACAAAATAAAGATGGAAAACAAGATTAGCAAACAAAGAGACAGAAGCATTGAAATACTCCAATTTTATAGTCAAACATGCCAGTGTGTGGTACCTCATAATCTTAGATTACATACTTCAACCACCAGTCAAAAAACAATTCTAACTATTTCTAGCCAGTTGCAGATTTCTGTATCACCTGTTTAAATAGGCTACCCTCCTAGGAGTCCACACAAAAATGAATACATGCTAGCTTGACACTTACGAACAAAGGTTAAAGCATATAACCTTTACCTGTGTAAAAAGATTAGTATATGTTTCGAACCCTGCAATATTTGATAATTATGGATGGGACTAATTAACTAGTCAGAAAGGGTATGGAAATTATTTGAACACATTTAAATCAAGATATATTCTATACAACTTATAGATGAGTGAAACAAGTAGATATTTCAGCTGTGTTATATGTACATATATTGCTTTCTTCACAACTTTATAGGGTGCTGTGCTGAAGCTTTATAAATCATCTTATAAGATACTTTTTAAGTGCTATATATATATAATATTTTTAGGCTTGCTTCTTCAATGTCAATTGGATGTATGCTTTCTAATAAAATTTAAATTTATTATATTATAAATAAAATGTTGTTGTTTTTTATTACTCTTTAATAATGCTCAACATTAACTCTTACAGAAAGGGCTCTGTCCCTGGACTGACCTCGTAACCACTTTGTGCTTGTTATAGTTTTCATGCTATAACTTTTAAATTAGTAAGCGTATGTTCACGAAATTTAGCAGATTATCAGCAAACACAACAAGGCTTTCATACACAGAATACCAGATTCTTGTTGTTAAGTCTTAAGGTTTGTTAAGCAATGTTTTTTTCTTTTTGCATGTTGCCTATCCAACATGCAAAGTAATTTTCATTTTAAGATTAAAAATACTTTTATGCATTAGAAAATTTTGAAATTTCACACACGAAATCTTTATAACATCCAGATAATTATCAACCATTTCTTTAAAAAAAACTTTATATTTTATCTGTTATTTTCACTAACTATTCTCTGTACAGGTTTGGACGATTTGACCGATCTTGTTACCACCATTAAAAATTAGGAAATAAACATAAATTATGCCTTTTTCATTCTAAAATGACTACAAATTATAACACGAATACACAAATGTTTAGACTAAATAGCTTATATCTCATAACATTATATATTTATTATTTTTATTATATTGACCTTTCAGCCATGCCTGGCTAACAAAACAAAAGTTACAATGATGCGGTGCATGTACACTCATGTTACCATATCCAATAATATAAAACTGACCTTTAATTATTACAAAGTGACCTGTCTTGGCTGTGTTTCAATGGACTAGTATTTTGTAAAATAAAGTCACATTTCAATCATTATACATTATATCAATTATATACATTATTACTATTACTAAGTCTTGAACTTATTTTTCTTACAACATAGAACAGTATATAAAGAAGTAAAGCAAACAATTATCTCTTTTAGTTATGACCTTTGAACTCGTTTGCTGTTTGTTGTAGGTTGCTAAGCATTATAAAATTTTGTATGTGAAACAAAATAATTTTTTAAAGTTTTTATATACACTTGAAATAACCCAAAATCATAAATTACAATACCGACACCACAGAATTCCACTATAATTTATCAAGCTTAGTAACTAAGCTGTATTTGGGTCTAAAAAAAATAAAATTTCAAGCAAACTACACACTCAACTTACCACCTTGAAGTTTTGTATCGAAAGAACAAGATGACATTGTAATACTTGTAATTGGCTGAGAAAGCCACTAGGGAGACATTCTGAGCTTTCGTTTGGTTATTCACATGTCATAGACAGAAGTAAGTGTACATAAAGGAGCATTTCCAAAAATGGAAAAGAGGTTAGCAGGGCCACTGTATTTGATTGAGTACCTGAGCAATATCTCAGCAAATAGAAAAGATAGAAGGTTCTTATTTTATATTCTAGCTTGCAATATCAGTAATTTGAGTTCCTAATTCATACAAAACTACAAACTTTGTATTTTGACATCACAAACATCTAATTTGAACCAGTGCTGCATTCAACATACAATGTGACACACAAAAATTGATGTTTAGGTGTTGTTTTTTTATATTTACTATTAAATTAAGAAATTAAATAATGTATAATACTAAAATTTGAATTATAATCTATGGTTTGATACCAAACTTATTGACATAAATTCATAGAATAGTAGTTCAATAATATTTTGAATGCGATTCAACAAATGCGATGACATGGCCTTTGACCTGTGATCCGTGTGAAAAGGGTTAATGATATAACCTCCAAAAATATGTGACACTTTTTAAATGTCATAAACAGTCCATACTATTAAGAAAATAAACTGAAATGCACGATTTTCTGTAATTACTTTTATATTTTCAAGAGTATGTTGAAGGAAAATCTTTTGATCTTTACAATAAAATATTAATATTTATTTTCTGTTCCACTATCACAATGAACCTTAAATTTACTTTTATGCCAGAGAACAATCAACTTTTTTCCCCTGATAACAACCTAAATTCTTTTCTTTACTTGTATTTTTTTAAGGAAATAAAAAAAACTTTTTTTTTTGCAACAATGTTTTTCCAGTACTACTAGTTGTGCACAAAAAAAAACACATATATGAAGAGAAGTATATCTGCTTACATAAAAAAAAACAGAATACCAACTATATTGTATTACTAAAAACCTAACTCTTTGATTTTTTTTTCACAGCTTACCAGCTGAAACCTTTTTCTCTGGTGTAGAAACATCTATATGTTCATGAAATTTTTCTCCACTCAGTGACATTTCCGATTGTAACATCTGATTATGAACAACAATTTCTGTATAAATAAAATAATTAATCTATAACCAGTATCATCAATCATCACACTTCATAAATATCTATTTTAAAGCAACATTTAAATGTCATAAACAATACATATTATTACACATATATTGAAATGCATGATCTTTTATATTTTCAAGAGTAAGTTCAATAAACATTTTTTGGTCTTTACAATAAACAATTAATATTTATTCTTCTGTTCCACTGACCTGAACATTAAACTTACTCTTATGCCAGAAAACAATCAATCCTTTATTTTTACCAATACTTACTTAAACATCTTTTCTCTAATTGTAGTTTTTGAAGGAAAGAAAACCTCTCCCTCTTTTTCTTTGCAACGATGCCTTTCCAATACTAGTTATGTGTCAGAAACTTACTTTTTATAGTTTCTATATATAGTAAGTAAATATATGGGTGAGTTGGGCTAAGGATTCTTCTACAGTAAGTGTTTGTGACTTGTTGGCGATAAATTCAAACAATCAATGAATAGTACTCACTCCACTTGTTTGCAAAATAATACATATATTTGGAACTAGTTAAATGTATGTACAATAAATTATTAATGTTATAGAGATCATAGGCATATCATAAACACTATATAGTTCTCTTCTTCTTGTCAAAAGTCCACTTAGGCCTATTCAATTGCCTTAGAATTTCAGTTCACAAGACAAACTATTTTTCTCTATTACTATCACCAAACTATCCGGGTATAGTTCACTTACTTTATCATCAAGTTACCACAATTGTATCCTGTATTTCTAAAATAGTCTGCTCCACTTTCTCTCTTTGTATTTCCAAGAATCGTCTGTCTATTTCTCAAAGTCCACTGAGACTAGTTCAATTACATTAGAACTCTCTTTGACGAAATAACCTATTCTTCTTATCTCTTGTCAACACCATTAGTTTCACTCTAATATATTGTTACAACAGCGGAAGTCACGTGACACTGGTAACACGTCATGAGTTTCTAGAAAGATCATGACTGTTCCTGGCAA